GAGAGAGAGAAGCAGAGGGAGAAGCAGCCTCCCAAGGAACAGGGAGCCCGATGCGGGACTCGATCCCAGGACCCTGGGATCATGACCTGAGCCGAAGGCAGACACTTAACGACTGAGCCACCCAGGTGCCCCTGTTCCATTATCTTTTATTAGCAGTAGTGCCCAGTACCACTTGACTTCAGTTTCTGAGGTCTTAAAGTTCTAGTTCCCTAGGAGAAAAATTGGTTTAGCTTATCTTGGGTCCAGTTCTGTCTCTACCTCCTGATTGACTCAGCCACAACCAGGATCATTCAGTATAAACATGATAGACAGGCACACTCATTCAGCAGTCTGTGCCTAGTGTGTCCAAAGAAAGAGAAGTGGTGGATAAATGCTTTACCCATTTTTCCTGTAGAATAGCTATCTATCAGATTGAATTGTCAGTTGAAGAGCTGCTATCTTGGAGAATTTTTTCTTTTGGGGTCGAATATTAACTAACACCCATATTATATCCAGAAAAGTTAAAAATATGAGAAGCTAATTGAAAAAGGTACTCTTCATGTATAACCCATCAGCTAAGAACTATTTCTGAATATCTACTTTACCAGACTTTGGGCTGGGTTCTGGTGGGCGTGTTGACACCTTAAACACACATGCACACATTCTCTCTCTCTTTCTCCCTCTCTCTGACCAATTAAAATAAAAGAAAATGAGTGACATTAGTAGACACATGTCAGATTCAGGCAAAGAATAAGCAAAGAGTGACAGCTCTGGTATTCCCCAAACAAGAAATGCAACTTTAAACTATTTTTCATGCTTTGTTCTCCTCCCTCTCTTCTTCTTCCTTCCCTCCCTAGTTCTTTCCTCCCTTTCCTTTCGTTTCCCTTTTTCTTTTTCTCATTCTTTTTTTCTTTCTTTTTTTCAGTCTGTCTTTCTTTCTTTCTCTGTTACATACCTTAGTTTGTGTTACATATTACAAAGTTATTTAAATGTCTACAAAATTGTGATATCTAATATTTAGATATGAATTTAGTTAAGTATAATGTTAATAACTCAGAACTTCTGTGTCATTGTTATGTGTGAAAGGAAATTTGCAACAAGTATCAGGAATGAATATTGGTCAGATAA